AGCCGCATCGGCCCAGTCTCTCTCCAGAGGGGTGGTTTCGGCAATTAGAACAGTTTATGCTTGGAGCTAAGGTGCCTTGCGCTATGCCTCTGGAAGCTCGCTCCAGGAGGGCTTCTTCAGCAGCATTCTGAGCCAGACTTGCTCTGGAGAACATTTGCGAAGCAGCGACATGGTCCACTCCTTCCGACATTCGGCAAGCACTATTCAATGGATGTGGACTCCAGAAACAACGCTGCCATGGGGAAGGCGGTGTTACAGGCAGGTTACAGGCAATATTTCACTGATCAGGCCACGCCCTCCTCCTTCTCTGGTAAAGTGAGCTTGCTGTTCTCCCAATGTGGGACTGCACAGAAGCAAAGGTGATGAAAACAGGGTTGCACTTGCCTGTAACCGTTGTTCATTGAGAGTCCTTCTGTGCGGGCACACATCCCTCCCTCTTTTCCCTGCTGTGGGGTGCTGGCCACCTCCTGTCAGCTTGGACATGGGGGGTGACCTTAAACTCTACCACAATGCAAACCGTTTGCCCCTGCCACAGGTCACTCAAGACTGTGGGGTGGGGGGAGTGACTTCGAAAAATGTCTCTATACTCAATGTCTACATTTATTATTTGATTTGTGTCCCCATTGCATTATGCTCAACTGAAGTTCAAGTTGTTACCTTGGCCTTTATTCATTTCTCTGCTCGCATTTATGTGTTTTACTAACGGCATTCTCCGGTCTGAGTAAAGGTCTCCTCATGGCAGCGAAGGGAACTGCGAGGAGGGAGTTCTTGCCCCGCCTCTGTCACGTGACCTTTTGGGTAGGAAAGGGATCTCTCCAGACAGAGGGGGAGGGGAGCACACCTAGAGAACTTCTTTAAAAGCTTGAAATCTCTTCTCCGCGGCAGGCCTGCAATCTGCAGTCCCACGTGTGCCTGCACAGAAGGCCACTCGATGAACAACGGTTACAGGTAAATGTAGCCCTGTTTTCTTTTTTCTCTTCTCAGGGTTGGTATTCTACCTATGTTGAGACGCTCAACGAGGTGCGGGCTCAGATGGTGAGGAATAAATTTCACATTTTGGGTTGGAGTGAAAATCTGCAGGTGGGTGCCGATTGTTTCTGGGAACTGAATGAAACTTTTTTTTGGGGGGGGGGAAGAGCCACAAGGGAACCACAGCATCATTCAAAGGTGAACATTTTCTAGCAATCCTGTTCTGCGGTTGGGCTAGAGGAGAACTGAGGAGAAATGGGACTCCTCTGCCTTTCCCCTTTTTCTTCTTTGCCTCCTGCCTCATGTCACTGGCTGTCAGATGCTGGGGTGTCACAGTGCAGAAAGGCTATTATGGTGCCTTGTGCAGTGTGCTTAAAGAAAAGGGGAATGGAGAGTAGAGGGGCAGCTATGAGAGTTGAAAATGACTTGAGCAGGGATTATTGCCCAGGCTGTGTGAACCTGGGTTTTCTTGGTTTCATGGTCACTTCCGATTAAACCAATTCTGCAAGTTTGAAAAACAATTTTTTTAAAACCTTTCATTTACCAGAGAGAAAAGTAGAATGAGTGTACACACTGTATTAGTGAGCCTTCTTTAAACAGTCTTAAACTAGGGGTGTCAAATGTAAGGCCCAGGGGCCGGAACCGGCCCATCCAGGGCTCTTACCCAGCCAGCAAGCAACTGATATGTATGGAAGTATAAGGTACCCCCCCCTTTATGGTATCCTTTGGAAGAAACCTAGTTTTGCATATGATTGAATATACTTATTGGGGCTTTTGTGGGTTCCCCAGTAAATCAATTGCTTTCGTTTGTATTTTGAGTAAAAAAAATTGTTAGTTGGGTTTGCCTGTGTCATAAGAACATATAACATAAGAACATAAGAGAAGCCAATGTTGGATCAGGCCAATGGCCCACCCAGTCCAACACTCTGTCACGCAGTGGTCAAAAATACCAGGTGCCATCAGGAGGCCCAGCAGTGGGGCCAGGACACTAGAAGCCCTCCCACTGTTGCCCCCCCCCAAGCACCAAGAATACAGTGCACATAACTTGCCCCAGACCAAGAGTTCCTATCTATACCTTGTGCTTAATAGCCACTGATGGACTTCTGCTCCATATGTTTATCTAATCCCCTCTTGAAGCTGTCCATGCTTGTAGCTGCCACCACTTCCTGTGGCAGTGAATTCTGTGTGTTAATCACTCTTTGGGTGAAGAAGTACTTCCTTCTAACCCAACTGCTCAGCAATTTCATGGAGTGCCCACGAGTTTTTGTATTGTGAGAAAGGGAGAAAAGTCCTTTATACAGTTTATATCTCTGGTACCTGGTGTTACAGCTTGTGGCACACATGGCCCGGCCCGACAAAATGACATTTGTGTCAGATCCGACTCTCCTCACAAATGAGTTTGACACCTTATACTCTTCACCAGGTTGTTGACACACAGAGGGTTTCTTCTAGTTTGGCATCCACATTACTTCACTCTCTTTTCCAAGTTCCCCCCTTGGTTTTCTGCACTCTACTCAACCTGGTTTGTTCCAGTCATCTTGGAAAGTTCAGCCAAAGCAACTTTGCAGACTCCGTGGGAAGCTGTACATTTCTGAGGGTCTTGCCCACATCAGCACCCTTGGTCTTGCCTCAGCCCCTGCAGTTGCTGTTCTTGCTCATGCCACCAGAGGGCTTTTCTCAGGCTTTTTTGGGGTGTGTGTGTCTCTTCTTACTTTTTTTTTTTTGTATTTGTGTGTCTGTACCTGGAAGTCATGTCGACCTCTGATGACCGACGACCCCTACTGGGGGCCTGGAGGATATTCAGAGAGGTGGCTGAACAAAGCCTGCTCCTGTTCTCCAGGCTTGGTATTCCAAGGAGGTCTCCCATCCAAGTACAAACCAGAGTCGACCCTGCTTAGCTTCTGAGATCTGACGAGATTGGGCTTGCCTGGGCTATTCAGGTCATGGTGGGAGGAGAGGACCTCTTGATCAATGCTCCCTCTAAGCTGTGGAGGCTTGTGAGCAAAAATTCTACTTGGTGAGCTACTGGCATTAAAGTTGTGAGTGAGTGATTTGGCTACTGCGTAGATTAGTGTGCTCTGGAGCCATCCTTCCTGAGCGAAGGCAAAAATGTGTGAGCTGGAGTCTAAAAAACTGAGCTACCTCACACTAACTCAGCTTAGAGGGAACACTGCTCTAGACTTTATAATGTTCTCTTCCTGCTGTGTGTTGTTTCTTCTGCATTCCTAGTTTACACTATTTTAAAAGTTTGTAGCCCTTTTTGTTGTAGAGATATAAGGGATGCTCCTTTCCTCTTGTATCTCCACAATGAAAAGCGCTCGAGTCTTTAAAGTTCCTTTAAATGGAAGCTGGGAACTAACTCATGATGGGAGATTGCTGCTTTCTCAATGTTTTACGTTACTGATTTTTAAAAGCCCCTGGTTGCCCTGGGGGAATGTTGATTGTGGTGGGGGTCTGAGGTAGAGCATATACAGGGGAAACTACTGTGTAGATGCTCTTTGAGTGCCTCTGTATTCACAACAGCAAATTGTTACCATGGCAGTGTCTGTTTTGATTCTGGCTTCAGCCATGGACTTGCAGGGTGACTTTAAACAACCAGTTTTCTCAGTCTCAATTCCCTGTCTGCCATATGGTTATGATACTGTCCCACCTTGTAGAGCCTGTTGTGATTCTTACTGTGAACGTAAGAGCCCTCAAAGTTCCCTCCCCATATATAGGGAAGGTATTTTAATATTTTGTATCTGGACAGACTCCTTCATGGCTCCGATCTGTGGTTTTCTTTTCATCTGTTTGCTGCAGAAAAATTCAGTTACAGAGCACCAAACGATAGCTACTGTGTTCAAGCAATTGTATGATTTCCTGATAAACCAAGAGGACTATTTGTTGACACGTTTCAAGTCTGTGACCGGGGAGGTAGCTGACAAAAGGAACCGTGACTTGGCCCATCTCTGTCTAGATATCTTCACTCTTGAGAATAACATCCGGCTGCTGGAGGAGAAGGCTTCACAACCGGTGCATGAATTCTTGCGGGTGAGACTGTGGGCTATTCTCTGCTGGGGTTTCCCCCTTCCTCCCAGAGAAAGCTGGGGTGAAACCTTGCTTGGACCTCCTTAGTTAATCACCTGTACCCCAAATAAAGGAGGGAAGACTTCAAGTTCTTCAAGTACATCTGTGGGTAATATGGGGTCATATGGGGTCCAGGAAGAACATTCGTGGGAAAGAACGTTTGTGGGAGATTCTGCAGCTTGTCGCAGAAGTGCAGTGTGAAAGTGAAGCCCAAATATGATGGTTATGTGGTGATATGCTGCCTAATAGGCTGGCAGAGGGCAAACTTGAAATCCATGAAGCAAGTTTATTTGTGTGGGAGGGGAAGGCCATCCTGGCTGGCACAATATCCTTGGTAAGAAGAGGTGTGTCAGGATCACACCCCCTGCTGAGAAAGGATCATCATGCAAAATGTTTCACTCTCTCTTTAAAGGCCAGTGTGGTAGAGCACGTAGAACTTTAGGCTTAGGCTAGGCTGACCTGGGTTCAAATCCCAGCACAGCCCCTTAGTTTGCTCTCACTGTTCTTTCCTGGTGTAATTTATAAAATTACTCCTCTTGCCCCCCGTCCCGCACTTGGGCTTCCTTTGTGTGGCTCTGTCTCTCGCGGTGGCCATTTTGTTGCTGTGCCCACCACTGTGCGTTAGAATTCCACGGGCTCAAAAAGGTTGGGGACCCCTGCCCTGATTAGTATGGAATACATCATACTAGTATCTGAAACCATGGTGTGAAGTTTCTCTACAGGCAGTCCTTCTGTGGTTTCGCAGGATACACACATGTGGAACATAGTGGCCGAGTTCTGGTTTGTTTTTTTGGTACCGTTGTAGCTGCAGCGCATGCTGGGATACCAGCAGGGTCTCTCCTGGACAAAGTGTGTGTACGCAGGCAACAATGCAGCATTTCTCAAGGCAATCCAGGATTGAAATGATTGCTTGTAATCCACTTTAACAAATGAGACATAGTTGATAGCTCTGTGTTTGGTCTGAATTGGCAGTGCAGTCCTTCCTGGATGTTACACCCTCCTAAGCAGGGCTTCTTTTGTAGAAAAAGCCCAGCTGGAACTCATTAGCATAATAGGCCACACCCCTGACAGCACAGCACATTAGCATATTAGGCCACACCCCTGACAGCGCAGCGCATTAGCACATTAGGCCACACCCCATGCCTTCCCTTGGCTTGCCCGGGTGCCCTGTGACTGTGGGGAGCCCAGGCAAGCCGGCCCTTGGACAGGCCAGGGAAGGCACGGGGAGGTATTTAAATGTCTCCCCAATCCTTCCACGGCCCCCCAGGCCTTCGCTCTGTAGCCACACACGCAGAGGTTTTGGCTATAGTGGGCGTGGCCAACTCTGAAACCAGCTGGAACTTTGTTCCTGTGCGTTGCTGCCCAAAAATAGCCCTGATCCTAAGGCTCTTGACTTCAGTGGGCTTGGAAATAGTGTAGCTCTTTTTACAGTTGCACAGTAAAGTGTTGAGGCAAGAGGGAATTCACTATCCAAAGCCTGACAGGTGTTTCTAGAATGCTGTCATGATCCTAGGCCTATAGTAGTGCAACCTACAGGCTCTAGGGAGGCCTTAGTGGCTCCAGGGGCGCCTGTACCTAGAGGAGCTATCAGGGCCTACATTTCCCAGGTCACCTTTTGGAGCCTGTGATTGGTTAATGGGGCATTTGGGGGGAAAATTTACCCCATTAGAAGAGTAGAGGGTGTTACCCGGGAAGAAGTGATGAAAGGCTTCCCCCAAAGTGTGAGGCTGTTCACTCTAAGGGGGCAGGGCTAGTGTGAAGCTGCTGCATATGGAGGGATCCCTCGTCCAAAGGGGGTGAGTCAGCTGGAGGCCAAGGTTAGGTACATTTTAGTCAGATGGGTGACGGTTTCTTATTTTGCTGGTTCTCCTACCTTTACTGTGCTTATTTTTCCTACATGTTATTGAACTACAGTTGTTGTTAAATCTCGTCAATAAAACTAGTTTGTTACTCTGTCTGGGGCCTCACGCCTCATTTGGTCACTTATAAAGGGGGACCTGCTGGAAAAGGAGAGTATAAAGGGTTCAGGTGGGTGCTCTGGGCCCTCCTGAGGAGACTCATACCAGAGTGGTGGCAGCCATTAGAGAACTTTTCTAGCCATCGTCCATGACAAATGCGCTTTCTTTCTGTTCTCCTCCCTCCACAGGATGCCATGAAGATGTATGACAGGTAAGGACCCCAAAACAAATATGAAACCTTAGTAGTAAAGTGCCAGGTAGATCTGAATTGATGTAAAAATGGAAGTGGGCTTCAGAATCTGTTGGAAATCTGATTTTAAAGAATTGTTTACATTCAAAAGGCTCACCGCTTGGGTTAACAGTGCTGGGGGCCTCACAAAATCAGACTAAACAAAGATTGCTGTTTGAGAATGATCTAGGAGTGTCCCCCTCCCTCAGGTGGGTAACTGTGTTAGTCTGTAGTACAAGGGTTCCCAACTTTTTGGAACCTGTGGGCACCTTTGGAGTTCTGATGCTGGCTGGCGGGCGTACCCACAAAACGACTGCCACAGGAAGTGGAGCCAGCCACAAAATCTCAGGTAGTGAGATCATGCACAACTCCAGTAGTAACTCTTCAGTGCTTCAGGGAGAAGCTCTGTTTTAACAGAATGCCTGCTGTAGTAGAACAAAACTGAGCTCCAGTAGCACCTTAAAGACAACGCAGTTTCCCAGGGTACAAGCCTTGTTGAGTTAAAGCTCACTTAGATAACTGTGTCATGATTAGGATGTTGTATTATGATTTGGAAGGTCTGATTCAAATCCCCGTTCAGCCATTAAAGCTCACTGGGTGACCCTGAGCCAATCATTCTCTCCCAGCATAACCTGCACAGTTGTGAGGATTTTAAAAAACGGGCAGAAGTTCCTGGGAGAAAGGGTGGGTGAAATAGGCGGTGACCATTGTAAAGGTTAAAGGTTTCCCTTGCTTGAAAGCCAGTCGAATCAGGAGACCAGGTGGGGATTCTTTGCGGGGAAAATGCATTTTAATGTTTTATACTTGGCACATGGTGCCCTTGTTTGTTAGCCGCCCTGAGCCCATTCGAGGGGAGGGCGGTGTAGGGCAGTCCAGGATTCTCCTGGCTGGAGGTTGGGAGCTGAAATCCTTATACGTCATGAGAGGCCGAGATGGAATCTGTTTACTGCTCACTACGCAGATGGTTTAACCTTGAAGCGGGGGAGCAACTACTGATAACATTCCTTAGTTCCTGTCTCATGCCTAGGATGATGTAATGTAAAGGAGGGGGGGAGGATTTTTATATTCAATAAATACGGCTGGTGAGTGAGAGGAGGGAGTTCGTTCGTTCCTGCCTTCATTCAGTCAGCTTTCTGCAGAAGCTGTTTGTGTCCTGTCGTCTTTGTATCGTGAACCCTGCACCCCACACCCTAACGAGCAGCACCGCAAGTGACGCCCTAATGAGGGGCTTATCTACGGATCAATCTCACCAACGCCTGGCAAAGGCCTCAAGAAGTACTTCCTCGTCATGATCCTCGCGACCCCTCATTGGTGAGATGGGTGCTAAACTAGCATTACCCCTGCAAGCACATTTAAAGGAACTTCAGATTATTACCCAGAAAGCTGGCAGGCCAGTTTCTTCTGAAACCCTCACTCAAATGCTTTTTGAGATTCAAAGCCAATGCTCTTGGTATCCAGAAAATGGATCTTTGGCATTAAAAGACTGGGATATCATTGGGAAGATATTGCACACAGAGCCTAAAGCTCCTGTTGCAGTGTTAGATTCTTTGCGGGGAAAATGCATTTTAATGTTTTATACTTGGCACATGGTGCCCTTGTTTGTTAGCTGCCCTGACCCCATTCGAGGGGAGGGCGGGATAAAAATATAATAATAAATAATAAATAAATAAGTGAAGGTTTAATTGATCCTTGGAAAGGAGGGCATGCTGGTGTGTATTACGGACAGTGTTCCCTCTAAGTTGAATTAGTGTGAGCTAGCTCACAGCTTTTTAACCTCCGGCTTACACATTTTTGTCTTAGCTCAGGAAGGATGGCTCCAGAGCAAGCTAATTTATACATCAGCCAAATTGCTTGTTCTCAACTTTGATGCCAATAGCTGACAAAGTAGAATTTTTGATCACCAGACTCCACAGCTTAGAGGGAGCATTGATTAGGGGTGCTGTCATGGATAAATGGGGGAACGTCCATTGCTCAGCACTAGAGCATCTGCTTGGCACGCAGAAGGTCCCAGGTTCAATCCCCGGCATCTCCAGTTTAAAATGACCCGGTAGTAGATGATATGAAAGACCTCCACCTGAGACCCTGAAGAAGCACTGCCAGTCACAAGAGACAGTATTGGCCTCGATGGACCAGGAGTCTGATTCAGTAGCCTTGTCCACTAGTTACAGTGAATGCGTGTACATCCCATATACTACGATGCACTCCATCTTTATACATGCAGGTAATTCTCACATTATATTCAATGCATGTACAGCTGAAGGGGTGTGATTAAAACAGTACATTTATCCAAGATAGCCAATGTGGACTCGGATCTGGAAGACCCAGATTTGGATCCCCACTTTTGCTTTGGAAGCTTGACGGGCGACCTTGGGCCAGCCACACACCCTTTCAGCCTAACCCATCTGTCTTTCTCACCAGGTGTCAGCCGAGAACAGGTTCGCTGACTCTAGACGATGTCTCAGTGGATTTGAAGTGGGGTTATTTGGAACTGTTGGAAATGAGTGCCACGGTGAAGGGCTTAGTAAACTACTTCATAGGTAAAGAAGAAACTTTTTTTTAGCCACAGGCAAATTACCTGAAGCAGAAAGTGGCTGTTGTTGGCAGGCTATTCCTTCACCCAGGGCTGGGTGAAAAGGGAAGGCCCCTGGAGCATTTACAGACAGGAACCTTAATTCTTGGGGCAGAGTTCAGTGGCCCACGGTACTCCTGCAAGTTCTTCGTTTGGGTGGGCGTGGACTAGAGTTATCCTTTGCTGTTTGACTTTGCACAGAGAAGTGCTAGGGATTGTCCAACCTCCTATGCTGAGAGTCCCTGAGCTTTTTCCCCCTGCACCAGGGGCCTCCTGCACGGTACAGACAGTGTTGGAAGGAATAGACTGTGGAATGTCACTTAATGCTAGCACAGACTTTGGTGTCCGGTGGGGGAGGGGAGACTTTTCCTCTTGAGAAGCAGAGAAATTCTTAGCTCTAAAATTGCTTGTAGTCTTCTTCTTAAACGTTGTGTTCTCCCTCCATCTCCATAGATCAAGGTGGGCAGCCATGTTGGTCTGAAGCAACAGAACAGTTAGGGTCCAGTGGCATCTTTAAGACCAACAACGTTTTATTCAAGGTGTGAGTTTCTGTGTGTGTGCACACGGAAACTCCCACCTCGAATAAAACTTCGTTGATCTTAAAGGTGCCACTGGACTCCGACTTTCTTCCCTCCATCTGTGTTTTGCATTCTTTTGCCTCCTGTCCTCTTAATTGGCATCTGTGGCATTGAATATCAAAGGGCCTTGCCACTGGAGAATAGCCTGGCTGTTTTGTCTGCTGTGTCTCAAAGACAGTGAATTGCCCTTGATGGAGGCGAACTTCAGGATCAGAGAATGCATTCTCAGGTCAGGAGAATCTTTGTCCCTGCCTTGGCTTAACATATACTTTGTGAGCAAATCGCTGTGACAGTGTAGGGATATTAGCATGTAAGTTCTCACGTCTCCTTATCTCGTCAGAAATCTCAGAGACAGCCGATTCAAAAGTTAAATCCCCCTTAATTTGCCAAAAACTAATAACACGGGCAAAGGTCTCTGGTAAAAGATATGAAAAATCCCGTGATCTTGGCCTGGTCATCTAAATCCTCATTACCAGGGGTCATTTTGTAGAACAAGGGGTGGAGGAGCTCATTAGCATAACTCATTAGCATAACTTATTTGCATATGCCACACCCCCTGACATCACCGGAAGTGTGTCAGAAGGCAACACCCACCGCTCAGGCTCCACTGGACTGTTTTTGATTGCTAGCTATTGGGGGGGGGAGGTGCAGATCTGTCCTCACAGAGGAGGGAGAGCTTGAGCCTGAATAAAACTTGGTCTTAAAGGTGCCACAGGACTGTTTTGAACCGGGGGCCGGGTGGGAGCTCTGCAACTTCCCTGGCTGCTTCTTGCTCCGACTGAGGGCTGCTGGGAGCAGGGGGTGGGGCTTGTTGCATGTGCCCGCCCCCTGGGCTCTTTACTGCTCCGCTCCTGTGCGCTCCTGCAGGAAATAACCCCTGCTCATTACAGTCTTGAAGAGAAGAAAATATGCTAGACAACTTGTTAACATGCTCACTGAGAGAACTTCCCTCACGGAATTTTAGTGAATTCAGCCTCTGACATAATTCGTACCTGGCATTCCAGCCCTGTTGCCTTATGCATCTTTACAAGGCTGCCCTAGATGGCCTTTGCAGTGTCCATTCCTTCAGTTCTGCACAGGTAGCCATCATCCAGGCTGTCCACTATTATACTCTGCGTCTTTGCGTCTTCATGTTCCCATTTCTCCTTTTTGTTCTGTATCGGGTAGAGGAGGGGCCCACTCTGCATCTAACATTTGCTCCGTTGTTGTACCAAACCCACACTGGAACAGAAAAAGATGCGTCTCAAAACCACATTCAAATGCCCCGGGCCAATGCCACTGTACTGACTGCAAAGTCACCCCTGAACGGCCATAAAATGGCCATAAATCTATGCAGACGGTACCATGAAACTGAGAGATCAAAGGAAGTGAAACCAGCATGCAGTGTGGAGGCTAGTATAAAATCTGACAGTCAAAGATAGATAAGTTTTATTCACGGTCATTGACCAACTCCTAAAATGATGATGACAAAGAAAGTGAAAGTGGCATGCAATGTAGAGGAGAATTTCTGTTTCAGCGTGGGTTTGGTAAAATAGTGGAGTAAATGCTAGATGCAGAATGGGCCTATGTTGACAAGTTTTCTCCCTTTAGGGCCAGTTGCAGTCGCAGCTTCCAGGAAAGGAAGGTGTTTGCAGCCATCTCTCTTGCTGTTTTGTTCCCTGCTTTCGTTTCAGGAGTTAGGCTCTGATTGCAAGCGCACACACACACACACGCTGCTTTTGTAATAATTTGCCTGCAGCTCTCCTTTTCTCTTTGTTTAGAAGGCAGATTGGCAATCGCTGACGGAACAGGCAAGCTAAACTCCTTGATTCCAGGTCAGCACAATTTTTGCAGCTCAGAACTGGTCCTGGTTCTGACCTAGTTCTAATTAGGCCCAGTAGGCTGGGCCTATAGCCTTTTTGGAAGGGTACTGGTTTTGGTGGTCCAGATCCTTTAGTTAACAAAGTGCACTTGGCTTTAATGCAGCAGTGTTTGTCTCAGACCTACCATGTGCTTGGCAAGACTACAAAGTTACACAGAGCCACCTTGCAGTGTGAAACAAAATAAATACATTATTCTAGAAATACATGATACTGTAGGGTAGAGAGATGGGAACAGTTCCTATGCTATTCTAGCGAACAGATGGGTGCAGGTGCAGAGAGGTATCCTGCATCTCTCCATCTTGTGTGCATGGAAGAGAGAGAGAGGAGAGACAGAAGGAAGTTACTTTTCCCTAAACAGTGTTGAGGTACATTTCAAAGGGAGTCAGTGACAGTAGAGAGTAAACAGGAAGATGCTTAGTGTCTGCCTATCTACCTGCAACTCTCTGTGGTCACTTACTTCTGGAGGCTGAGACACAGGGACATCACATCTGGTACTTCCAACACTTATTCCTTAAGCAGCCAGGCTAAATTCCACTGTGCAGAAACTCAGCTCTGCTTTCCATCAGGAGGTAACTTGGAGTGTTTCCACACGGGTTCTTTGCCCTGAATAGGCAGCTTTTGAGACACAGCCCCCCCC